GATATTAATTGATATATTATATTTTAAGATATGTTATAATTATATTACGAAATATTATAATATATTAATTTAAGATGTTCTTTTTATCATTTTAATATTAAATTTTCGTTGTTATAATTAGTTTACGGCCATGAATGTAATTATTTTATGTAACCAAAAAGTAAACAGTAGTCACGATTTTAACAATTCAATGTCATCATATGTCATTAAACGGCAACAGTTTATGTAAAATTTGTGTGGCTATAAATAGTATATGGTCATGGTTTTAGCTATTCCGTGTAACCAAAAGGCTACCAATAGCTACGGTTTTTAACAATTCAATGTAACCATATGTCATGAAATGGCCATGGTTAATATAAAATTTGCATGGCTATAAGTAGTTTTTTGTCACAATTTTAGTTAAGTCATGTGACCAAAAGTTAATCAATAGCTACATTTCTAACAATTTAGTATAACCAAATTTAATGAATTAGCAATGGTTGATATTAAATTTGTGTGGTGAAAATTGGTTTACCACTATGGTTTTAGTTAGTTTACGTGACCAAAATATAATCAATAGCCACCTTTAAAAAAATTCAATGTAACAATAGAGTCATGAATTGCATGGCTATAAGTTGTTATGGCAACATTTGTAGTTATTTTGTATGGCCAGAAGGTAACCAACTGTCATGGTTCTAACAGTTATGAAAACTATAAGTCATGAATTGGTCACAATTAATATAAAATTTATGTGACAATAAATAATTTATGGTCACGTTAAAACAAATATACGTGATATTAGGGTAATCATTGGCCGTCATAAAAATAAACTGTGTGGCCATAAATAGTTTATTGACATGGTTTTCTTTATGTTGTGTGACCAAAAGAGTAGCAACTGGCCACGTTTAACGTGAGTTTGTGTGGCGATAAGTAGTTTATGGCCACAGTTATTGTAAAAACGCGTCAATACCATAAAAATTAGACATCGTTTATAGCCACGGTTCTTGAGCTATGGCTATGGTTTTTCATTAGATATGGTGACACATTTTTAAACATGGCGAAAAGGATATCAATGGTCACGGGAGTATAGGCTACGGTTTGATAAGAAAGAAAAATTGTGGCCAAAGGCCTATGGCCACAGTTTTTAACCGTGGAAAATGTAAGTTTTTGTACTAGTGTCTTCATCAGTTAGTTATCAGCTACCATCTAACTTATCAGTTTTTGGACACTTATCGGTTAGTTTGCCAAACATATCTTGTATATCTAAAAATCTCCAACACTCGCTTCAACCATCTCATCGCTAACGGTTCGTCGAAGATTGGTGTTAGTTGGAGCTTTTTGTATGGTTGTGGCCCTTATGATACAACAAAGGCTTCGAATCTAATGATCATAGGTTTAAAAATCTAGAAAATAAGATGTGCTTAAAAAATAGAAAGTCTTGTATTGTATCTGTTCAAAAATAAATGTACATATTTTTATTTTTAGTTTATTTTAAATCAAATGTTCGGGTGAAATATGTGTCTACTTTTCGATTTTATCTTTAATTATGTGATGGAAAAATTCATTACACTTTCTAGTTTCTATTATAGAGGGTAGAATTGTTACTGTGTTAACTTAATGAAAAAAAGTGTTATAATTACACATTTTTCAAACAATGTGGACATTTATCTTGGGTGGTTTCAATAAAAATATTCATAACCAGGCACGACACCAATTCATGCCTAGAGTATTTTTTTAAGAATACGGAGTGTAATAATTACCAATCGCATCTATTGTTTGTATAGTCGACTTTAAGTTTGGCCATTCATGAAGAAACCCGTGGACTTGGATATAAGTTCCGGTTTTTAGGGCTCCTCCCCATAGGTCACTTGCAACAAGACTTGACCTTTGAGCTTGTTCAAGTTTGAGGGGTTAGCTCACTAGCAATAAGCTTTGACGTTTGGGCTCGTTTGAGGGGTTAGCTAACTGATAACAAGGAGCCCAAAGGCTATTTTAGCTAACTGGTGTTCTTGGGCCTTTGGGCTCCTCCTCATAGGACATCAGTTCAAGTCCCTTCAAGAACACCAAGGATTTTTCTGGTTGTTCTCCATGGTTCCATGTGATTAGTCGAGTTGCGCACAATCTAATCTAGACACCTACAGTTAAGAAAAAGAATATGAAACTCTCCGCTCGTTAAATGTACAAGCCTTTGCTTGACTTGTAGACTTGTAATTTTCTTTTTTGTTCTTATGGGTTCAAGGGTGGTATGAGTTTGTGTGTTGATTCAATTGAACTATGTGTCGATGATTGTAGTTGTGGCTCGACCAGGAGTATGACGATATGGCTCACAAACTATCATAAACCGACATGCCTAATTATAGTTACATTTATACAGAAAAAATGGAAGAAGCAAAATAGCATGTTAAAATTTAGTGAAATTTGATTTTGTAAGTTATATTTGTGGTAAATAATATATACTTCAAAAATTTGTAAGGGTGGTTGGGGAGGACATTCATTTGCATGGAATTATGGGGATTGCGGGTCCCCCGAATTCGTTGCCATATCTAACAATAAATTACGAAAATTGTTCTTTTGCTAATTTATAACCCGTGTTTAGGTTTTCATATTTCAAAGTTCAAATTGGGTGATTTAGGCCAATTGTTGGGCAATATCAAAATGACTATTTAGAAACATATTAGGGTTTGTTAGCTAGTAGCTTCTAAGACAACTTTATGTAGAAAGTTAAGAGTTTTTTTTTTCAAACCTAACCCTCCCATTTAAATATACATTATTTTCATAAATGAAAACTTCACTCAAACAAAAACCTTTTTATTCTATATAGACAACTTTATTTATACACGACCTTATAAAAAAAAACCTCTTTATTTTCCTTCAATTGGGTTATTATTTAGACCTATATGCACTTTTTTCTCACTTAAATCATGTCTTATCTCAGTCTAATGTCGCAACAAATATGAGACGAAAAGTTTTTGTAATATTCAATCTCTTCTCGTCCCATGTACCAAAGGCACTAGTCCACCGTTCCTTTCTTTGTCACATTAATCATATTTAAACTCGGAACTAGGGACTCCAACCACACCATTGTACAAGAATATGTATACAGAGAGAGGTTCAGGGGAGAACCCCAAAAAAATAAAAAACTAAGGAACACCCTGATAAATGCTCATCTGGATGCTAAGCACATATATATACAAGTAATAAAAGTTGCTTCTTGGTTTTTATGTACATACACGTGTACATGTCTGACAAATTGCTTAAAATTAGTTGTATGCGCATATGCATACCGTGCAGATGAACGATTACCTGGATGTTACTCAGTTTGTCACTTTTTTGTGGTTTTCCCCCAACACACACACACACACACACATATATATATATATATATATATATATATATATATATAATGAAGAAGATGGAACAAGAGAAGGAGAATAACTGCAAATGCATGGATGGATATGGAATGAAATTCTATAAAAGCAAATTGTGTTGGTTAAAAATGGAAAACACATGATGTTCAAATGAAACAAATGACATTCCACGCCCACCTCCCCCCAAACCATAACACCACTTCTTCACCATTGTGTGTATACATCTATGGCTCTTCCAGCTGGTCCTGCACTCACCCCAAAACAGAAACACTTTTAAAAAATCCATTATTAACCTCCTTCACCCAAATCGGAATGTTTCTTATCTATTTGGCAAAATTTCAGCCTTACAAATTACCTATTTGCCCATTGTGGGTGGAGACCACAAGATTCCTCTTATTTTGTCCTTATTAAATGATATTTTAGACATTTTGACAAATAATCAAACACATCGATTAAACTACAAGAGACTCAAGCTCCTTCAATCTAACATGTTTGCTAAAAAGTCCTTTCCATCCCATGAAAGTTGATTATTTCATTTGTGACTTTCTATTATTTCCCTTTATTTGCAGAACTCTGAACTAAATGCTTACCTATTTGACTATTGTGATAACAAGCTACTAAATGGTGTTTTTGGTACGCGGACTGCATTGACATGAGTGAGGTAGGCAGGTAAAAGAATTGTGATAAGCTTCAGGGTTTTAATTCGACATGGGTAGTTTACAAATTTACCAATTTTGTGACATCTCCATGATATTTTTTGCCAAATATTTTGGTGGGACAGAAAAATATGCATTGTTATCCCACTCACACTCAGGTCCTATCATGTCCTAGTCTAATGTCATACACCAAAAGGGCAAGTTTTTGTACTATCTGCAGGACAAGTTTTTGTACTATCTGGTCCTGCCCTGTCTCACGTACCAAACGCACGATCAAGTCAGATGCTTTCATGGGATATGTGTAATACAATCCTGTTAATTGTTTGTGTGTGTGCAAGAGAGAGAGAGAGAGGGAGGATTGACCTGTGCATCTGAGGTCCAAAGAGTGAGATTGTCCCTCAGTAGTTGCATTATCAGAGTGCTATCCTTGTAGGAGTCTTCACCTAAAGTGTCCAGCTCAGCTATGGCATCCTCAAACGCCTACTCATAACCAGAACCAATATAAATATAGTTACAGCTATAAATTTTAGTTCCCACAAAATGAAAAGGTTATGTAGATCTAGAAATATATAATGATAACAAAGAAGCAGGCATAGCCTAAATCACCAGTATATACGTATATGTGTGTGTTTGTGCCATGGAGGTAAGATTAAGATATGGAATATATAAAATGCATACATATGTATATGATGTACAGAAATATGTATATGTATCTATGCATATGTATATGTGCCTTTGTGTGGGATGGAGGTAAGATATGGTATATATAAAATACACCATGCTCTTAAGCTTAAACTTTATCCCGGTTTTACTTCTATTTAGTCTGCCATAAATCATAATCATCCAAACTATTTAGGAAATAAAAATTTGCCACATCACCTCACGTTTTATCCTTCACAGATATTATACTTGAGTTTTACTTCAGATTTTTAACCTCAAGTCCTAACTTGATGATGTGAAATTTTCATCTCCTTTTTTGTTGTGTCCCAAAGCGTCTAGTACACAGATTCAACAAGGGGTAGAAGCACCTTTATTTGCAGTTCCTACATGGCAGGACCTTAGATGGAAGTCCATTGACACCATAGAGTCCAGGCTGAAAATACATGCATAGGGAACCAACAACATGTGTATGCTAAATCCAAACTGCCGACTTCAAATTGTGAAAAGTATATATAAGTCGGTCACCATACCTTTTACTTGTATGAAAAGGATCTTTTGAAAATTTATCATTAGATGCTTTCCAAGTAAGCACATGTGAAACAACTTGCTTATATATACTTTGTTGCACTAAATAAGAAATGTATGACATGATGATCACATATATACTACAAACTGCATAATTTTTTTAAATAATGTTAAGAATATGTCAACCTATAAATAATTCATTTATCACTTTAAAATAAAGGTGCCTTTATTCGTCCCAAAAAATCAAGTGTTCACGACTAATTGTCTACTAGACACCAACAAAGTCAGCTGCTAACTACCTCATTATTCAATTTAAATACTTTGTCAGATAAGCTCTTAGCCTATCAAGTACTGAAACATACTAAAAAGCAAGAAATATTGAATTAGTAACGAATGTAACAGAAGTGATAACAGAATTCAGAAAAAGAAAGAGAATGATGAAGATTAAAAAGATGTGGATGTCCAACCTGTTTCGCCATGCTACAAGCCTTGTCAGATGAATTGAGAATCTCATAGTAGAACACTGAGAAATTTAAAGCCAGACCCAATCTTATTGGATGAGTTGGAGCCATATCAGCCTCTGCGATATCCTTTAGAAATAGAATCAAATGCAAATAATTAATTACAACTCCAAACCAAAATAATTTGAATAATTGGGGTCATCAAGGGTTACAATCTGCAAGACTACACAGGTTCCTACAAGCTGAATAATGCTAATTGCAGTCTTTACTTTATTAAGGTAATTATATTATCTCAAATATGCTACAAACTCTAGCCTAACTTTGCAATTCACAATTAAGAAACCAACATCATGCCTCACTAATGACAATTTACATGAGTAAGAAGCTCCCTTATGCACTAATAAACATAAATAACAATATTTGGCTATTTGCGTTCATTAACGAAATTATAGCATTAGTAACTAGGATATGGTAAAACAATTTTCCCTAATTTCATAAATCACCAATACCGAAACCTCTTAACACAAGCTATCTACATAGCATCTGAGCAAGCATTTCTAACACTACGGAGATAACAAGACTATCATACATTTACACCTCTTAATCAAAAGTGTTAGGACATAGTCCATTGTTTTGATGAATGTCACCTTCGTGTCATTATCTGTAATACATCCATACACTGTGATACAGAACTCTAGTTATTAACCTAGAAACCGGAACCTAATAATTCTAAGTTTGTTATCCTAAACTTCCTATACCAAAATGGATTCGATCTCAAATTTTAACTACTCGGACAGATATGTAAATCAATTTATATGAACAGAAATATAGTTATCGAATCTAGACCTAAATATTGCAATTCTTCAATGTTCAACACACAATTCAAGTAATTAACTACCTGAGCAGCTTTGTATGAGTTCATAGTTTGCTCCGCTGCTTCCTTTCGCTCATCTCCGACTTTAAACTCCGCCAAATACCTATGATAATCTCCCTTCATTTTCAAATAAAACACCTTCGATTCCGCCGTAGAAGCTGATGGCACGAGATTTGACTCTAAAATCTTCAAAATTCCCGAGCAAACATCGGAAAGCTCATCCTCAACCTTAGATCTGTAGTCCTTCACTAGCACAACATGATCATCATTCTTCCGCGACTCCTCTTTCTGTTCGATCGATGAGACGATGCGCCAAGCCGCTCGGAGCGAGCCGATGACGTTCTTGTACGCGACGGAGAGAAGGTTACGCTCCTCGACAGTGAGCTCAGACACCGGCGTCAGTCCGACAACGAGCTTTTCCATGAATTTCACCATCTCTTCATACCGTTCAGCTTGCTCCGCCAGCTTCGCCATGTAGACATACTGTTCTCTCGTTAGGTTGTCCGGAAAAGCTGTCGCCGCCGCCATCGACGGAGCAGGATTTTTACAGTGAGAGAGAGAGAGAGAGAGAGGGGAGGTAATGATAGAGGTGAATGAGAAAAATGTGTCCTTGCAATATACAACCCGGTCTTTGGATATATACATATACATATATATATATATAGGAGGGGTTTTGTATTCGCTTCGGTGTTTGAAAGTGTATCTGCGTGTGTATTATTTTTGCAATTATTTGGGTTTCTGTCAAATCACAGCCATTGATCTTGGCGGTCCCACACCGATTTGAATTTGAATTTAAGATAGGGCTTTTTTATCTCCACCCCTCTTATTTCTTTTCCCCTAATTTTTCTACACCCCCACCTATGTTTGACAATAAAATATATTAAAATTTATTATTTTATTTTTTAATTTTAATCTTTAATATTTTTA